TGAAAGTAACGAGTAACTTGAAGTAACTGAGTTACTTTTGATAGAAGTAACTAGTAATGTAACTAAGTTACTAATCTAAAGTAACACTGCTGAAGACATTTCTCATGTGGCTTCGGTGAAGAGTAACTAGGGCCAGATGCATTTGTTGGGTCTTAAGGATATGACTGTCAGATACTCATCATTTGCTGTAGATACATTTATAGATCCGCCACTTCTTCTTTTCTCATCCACTTAGTTTCCTTAAATTTCTTAAGGACACATTGCGCACCGGGCTGAGATAGGCCAAATTTTCAGCTTATGGATCACATTGGTGATGGAAAAAAATTGAATTTTATTTATTTTAAAATACTTTTTACCCAGCTGCTTAAAGCAAAAGTGTGTTTTAGATTTAATATCAAATAATATTTTAGGTGAAACCTGCAGGACAAAAAAGTAAACTGGATCCTATAAACTCTCATAATTTCACCTGTTAAATGACAGATTACACTTTTTTTGGTTTAACTTTCAAAGTCTCATCTCACTAAAACTGGTGTACAACCTACTTTTTTCCACTCTGATATGCACAAATTTGTGCATACAAATCTACACGGCTTTCTTTGTGGGTTTAACGGTCCAAACAGGGAATTTCCATCATCAGAAATGTCAAGGGAAATTCCAACGCACGGCTAAAATGTTACCTTGAGGGGCATCATGTTGGAAAATATTATCTCAGTTGTTTTTTTTAACAGATTTACTAAAAACTGCATACAACTTGGGCCACTCTTCTTTTTGATCTGCAGGAAATTCTCTATTGTGACAACACCATGAACTTGTTTTACCATGTTACCTACTTATTCTGAAAAAAATAAAGTTCACAGTAATTTAGTGGTCAATATAATGTGTTCAGATTCATCTCATAAGTCATGACACATCACACTTTCCTACATAAGCTGCCTTTATTTTTATTTTATTTATTTATTTTTCTTGCCTGTCCCGTTCAGTACTTTAGCAATCAGAACTGTTGTCGGAAGGGAAGGAAAGATGCCCAACAGATTTATTTTTTAAGTGGAGAAATTATGGCAATGCCATATTGGTCCACTTGATTGATCTATATTATTATAAGCTGCCTTTAAAATATTGGTATCTGTGTTAGTATCTGCAATATTTGAAAGTGAATCGATACCAAAAATTGCAGCATTGCACGCCACTAAGCAGATGTTCCTCTTTAGCGACCCCTATAGGTAGTAGCCGAAAGAAGAGAAGATGTGTAATTTTTCCCTGGTCATGGCATCAATCGACCGGTACGTCAAGTTTGCTACAACAAAAGCAAATAGCGAAAGGTTTATTTCAAAATTAAAGCACTACATTTTAACGCTCTATGAATAAACCAATTTGTGCAAATATAGCATTTATTAATTATAAAAAAACAATTAAGTTGGCATTAAAATAGCAAACGAAACTACCAGACGCCAAAGAATTGCATTATTTTTTTTATCGCCGTTAGAGCCGCGATTTATTTTGGAATTTCTCACCGGAACTGAGTGAGATTGATATTAGCCAACTAGACAGCGTCTCAGCAGCGTTTGTTTGTGTGTTTTGTGAAAGTCCACTGGTGATGTTGCTGCGAAGATAGGGGGAAAGGTGTTCAGAGGCGCTGTTTGGAGCACAATTATCCGTCAGCTCTGCCAGGGCAGGTAACGTGTTTAAACGGACTGTTGTTGGGGGAACGCTGTGACATTGGCAAGCTAACTTGGTATACGAACTGCTAACACGCGCCCTGCGGAAAGTGAAAATAAAAATTTTCTTTGTCGGGTGACCCAAGACTTTTTGTATTTCCAATCTGCCACTAGAAAACACGAGTTTTTGCATGATTTTCAGTGTTTATTCGCTGTGTTATAAGTAGAGCTGTGTCGATATTTTCCCTTTAAGAACGGCGACTTCCTTGTTGTGTTTATTTCTCAGACTGTGAAAGCCAAGGCTTTTCGCTGGAAGTCCTTGGTGTCACTTCAGTACTTCCTCCAACACGTATATGAAATGTAACTAGGTAGTGTATGAATAAAACAAAATGTCTTTAAAATAAATAGTTAAATTAATGAATAAGGTATCATTTTATTTTTATAAATTTATTAATTGTGTTGTCTTTGCCGCACTACTCCATGCACTGATAAAATAAAATCGAACGTAAATGGCAAAGTTGTGAATAGGAAGAAAGCACCGGAGAAACTGGTCCCAGTGAGGAGACTCATGAGTAACCGTTCAAAATAATCCTTGTTTGTGTGATTCTGAGCTGTTCTTTAGGCCGATGTTCTGATGGTTACCTGTGCCTAAACAGATGAAGCAGGTGGGTGGTGTGAAAGATGGCCTTATTTGTGGTATCTGCTCTTATTGATGTCATACAGACCAAAATTGGGTTGCAAACCCCCCAAAACAAACTGTCTAAAGTGAAGAGCTTATGGCAGGCTACAACCTGAGCTTCTGACTCTCAGTGATCACTTCTACTCGTCATTCATTAAAAATTTGGCCTTGTCCATTATGAGCATCCACCAATGTAACTGTATACATGCAGAAATAATCCTCACTTGGCTCACTCTGAGCCTCTGTTCAAGCCAGTTCTTCCACCACTGTGACATATTCTTATGTCACTTGAGCCACTCATTGACTTTGTTTGCACAAAACACATCCACGTGCAAACTTGCAGGAAGAACAAACCTTCCAGCTTAAAGCTGGTTTAGACCGTGGTCACAGCGTGTTAAAAGATTCTTACAGTTTCTGGCGACTGGTATTTGTAGCTGGTTGGAGTTTTCCGGCTTTCTTTGACTGCAAAGCCAACAACTATAAGTTTCACTTCCTATAAAGTATTAGTGAAGGTATTTTGAGAATATTCATTTCCTTTATCTATGTGAGACTTACACCTAGGTCTTATACCCGGTGTAAGCCGATCTCATTTATTTAGCCTTTTTTGTATCTTTATCCTGAAAGCAGATTAATTTCCTGCAGGTGGTTTTCAGGCTGGCACACTGTAACCTTTAGCTTAGCAATGTGAAATTAAAACCCCTCTCAGCTTGGTTCGAGTATTTCAGGTTTCTGTTTTTTGTCTGACACATTTTCAGGATGTTGTTTCAATTGGTGCTGGCTTTCCTTTGTGGTGTTGGCGTTTGGGCCACAGAAAATACCACCACCCAGCAGGAACCGCCGCCGCTGCTGCTGGTGTCATTTGATGGGTTTCGAGCTGACTACCTGAAGAGGTTCCCCATGCCGAACCTGAAGCTCCTGTACAGCCAGGGGGTCCTGGTGGAGCAGCTCACTAATGTCTTCATCACCAAGACGTTTCCAAACCATTACAGTCTGGTAAGCCTGCTTTTGTTTGTGTGTGTGTGTGTGTGTTTGGAGGATGATCTGTCTGATAGCTGTGTCTAATTCTGGTCTGAAAACATTTCCTTCCTTTGAATTTGATGCAAGAAATAAGCAGGTTCTTCTCTGAAAAACACATTGCCTCAAAACCCACAGCCTTTCTTTCGCTACCGTTTAACCCAGAGGCGACAGCATTCAGGATTTCCAAGAAAAAAACCAAAAGCCTCACTGCTTTCATCTTTCATCAGATTCACTAGTCGTTTCCTCCTGTTTATTTAGTCTGTAAGCATGCATTAAAAAGAAAGAACAGAGCTTTTGTTGAGCTGGAGTATCTCTAGAGTGAAAAGTTACACCAAAACATTGACTTGGTCAGAACCATAGACTGTATGTAAAAGATGGACATAGTGACTTGAGTTGGGAGATGCTGAACATCTGTGATTGACAAGTCATTAGCTGATGAGTAAACTCCTTTTAATCTGCCTTTCTGATTACAAATAAAGAACACAATTAAGAGGGCTATTATTCTACCATATGGGTTGCCCCCAGGTGGCCAACAGCAAGAACGCAGGTTTAAGAGTTGGGTCTTGTTTTAATAATTATTCTAATTATTAATTAATGTCATTAGCTGCAAAATGTTTCACTGGGTCTTTTATATATTTATTTTTTTTAAATCACACAAGATTTTCAATTTTCCCGTAAAAGCCTTGCAAATGTGATATTGTCATTGAAGTTTGTTACTGTCCGTCAGATTTAAAAGGAAATATAAAAAAAAAAAAATCAATTTCAAAGTGTGATATTAGTGCTACACGATTGTTTTTGATCAGTACTGTGATGATGGCTATTTGTCATGATCATTCATTTATTTTTTTGGACAAAAATGTTTTTATTGCACTGTGAAGTAAGCATAACACTGCTTTCATATCCAGGTAAGGAGCTGTATAAAAACCTAGTGCTAAATTAAACTGGGGACTGTATTTTCAGTGCAGTTTTGTTGCTTGGCTGCACATCATTCTTTGCATATGATTTGTTCTTGGTTTATACCACTTGTCCTATTGCTAAAGACTTCCAAGCAATGCATCAAGATCCACTTCTAGGAACAAGCTCTTTGCATTCTGCTGGTGCAGACATTCAAATCAAATCAAAATTCAGTTAACTGGGTTCCCAAAACTTTCATCATTGCATTCACCTTTTAACATTTTGGAAGCTGCTTTTCATGCTTGAGTAATCAAGTCTCTTAAAGCTAGATAATAGAACAAAATCACATAGACAGTATAATATTATTGTTTTTATTATTGTTACCTCTGCAGGTTACAGGACTTTATGCAGAGTCTCATGGTATCCTGGCCAGTAGAATGTATGATCCCATCAGCAAGAAGCACTTCAGCGTTAGCAACGACACCGACCCGATGTGGTGGAATGGGGCGGTGCCCCTCTGGATCACCGCGCTGGACTCCGGCTACAGCACTGCAGCCATGATGTGGCCCGGCTCCGACGTGACCATCAGGAACCGCACACCTACACACTTCTTTCCCTACAACCCCAACGTAACATTCCAGGAACGACTGGGGAATGTGACAAACTGGCTGTTAGGAAATGCAACGGTAGAAATATCATGTCTCTACGTTCCTATTTGTGGCGCTTTGTGGAGATGGTCTAATTTGGAAAAGCTGGAAGGTTTGACATTGTTTATGATTTTTATAATCCCACCAGGAACAACGAGTGAAGTTTGCAGCTCTCTACTGGGAGGAGCCGGACAAATCAGGTCACATGTTCGGCCCTGACAACACCACCGCCATGGGCAAAGTGCTGAAGGAGGTACAGTCATTTGGCTATATTCAAATGCTCAAACAAGCTTACTAGGTTGTCATACTGCTACAGCAAACCTGCATGTACAGTGGAGGAAATAATTACTGGGTCCTCTGTTGAATTTGTAAGTTTGCTCACTTAAAAACAAATGAAGAGTCTGTCATTTTTGTGGTCGTTTCATTTTAATGCAGAAAGACAAAATATCAGCCAAAAATCCTGAAACCTAATACATAAAAGTTATAAACTGATGAGTGAAATAATTGGCTACCAAGCAGAAAAATTTGATATTATTGGAGGAGAAACCCTTGTTAGCAAGCACAGCTGTAAGACGTTTCTTGTAGTTGGTCACCATGTTTGGACACACATTAGGAGTACACACATTATTTCCAAAAACTCTCTAAATCTTTTAGGTTTCTTGGCTGCCACTTATAAACTTAAAGCTTTAGTTTTAAGTTTATAAGTGGCAGCATGACTATGGTCTGGAGACCAGCTAGGCCACTCCATGACCCTAATGTGGTTCTTTAGCCACTCCTTTGTGGCCTTGGTGTAATGTTTTGGGTCATTGTCATGCTGGAAGACCCATCCATGACCTATCCTTTGTGTTCTGGCTGAGGGAAGGAGGTACTCATGCACTTTTTATGGCCCCATTCATTGGCCCCTACATGCAGTGAAGCCATCCTGCACTCTCAGCAGAAAAACAGACCCAATCCATAATGTTTCCATTTCCGCGCTTTACTGTAGGGCTGGTATTCATTGGGTCACATTTCTCTTACTCTAAACACGGCGGATTGAGTCGATCCCAAAGAGCTTGATTTTGGTTTTGTCTAACCACAGCTTTCTCCCAGTCCTTCTCTAAATCAGTGAAATGTTCACTGGTAAACTTCAGACGGAGCTGTACATGTGCCTCTGCTCAGAGAAGCCACAACAAGATTTCAATCAAATGCAGGCTGGTGCGTTATCATTAACAAGCTCCTCCCATGTAGTTTTGGACTGATCCGAGACCTTTCTCTTGATCATCCTCACCACATCTTGCCTGGAGCTCCAGACCAATATTCTGATATACTGTCTCTCCACTAAAATGAAAGACTAGTTCCAGTCGTGCAAGTCTTTTTTTTTTTTTTTTTACTTGATGCAGACATTTGTGTCTGCTTGTGTGCGATTAGGTTGACGACAACATCGGCCTGCTGATATCTGAGCTAAATCGGACCGGCCTCTGGGGTCGCATCAACGTGGTGATAACGAGCGACCACGGGATGGCCCAGTGCTCAACCGATCGCCTCATACGGCTGGACGAGTGCCTCCCTGAAGACAACTACACACTGGTGGACCTCACACCTGTGGCGGCGCTCTTCCCAAATCAAAGTAACTGTGCTAAGCTCATCTCATATTACATAATGAAACTTGTGTCTCTGTTATTCTGTGCATTGAGCTCCCAGTTGCAATTTTCCATGTGTCTGCTGCCCAGGTGATCAAGCTGATGCTGTCTTCAATGCGCTAAGTGAGTGCCACCCCCACATGACAGCATACTTGAAAAAGTCCATTCCTGATAGGCTGCACTACCAGAACAATGTGCGCATCCAGCCAATCATACTGATTGCTGACGAAGGCTGGACCATAGTGAAGAAGGGGAACAAGTTGCCGAGATGTACGTGCTTTTTTAATTTAATTTAATTTTTTAATAATGTTGAGTTTTTGATATGTTAAGACTAAAAGACAAAAGCCAAAGCACAATGAATTAACTGCCTACAATATTAATGCCTGGTAATCCTCCTGTTACTCCTGTTTACTTTTAGTGGGCGATCATGGCTATGACAATGCTCTTCCCAGCATGCATCCTTTCCTGGCAGCGACTGGGCCTGGCTTCCGTCAGGGTTATCAGCTGAACAGCTTAGAAACTGTGGATGTTTATGCACTCATGTGCCGCCTGCTGTCAGTGCCTGCGCAGCCCAACAATGGCACCCTGACCCAGGCTCGGTGCCTGTTGGCCGCTGAGGCCTGCGTAGATCTTCCCCTGGTTATCGGCCTGGTGGTGGGTGTCCTGCTGGTACTCACTACAATCACTGGTGAGTAAGAATAACGTGTCTTCTTGTTGTATTGTGTTGATGTGGGGGGAAAAAAAGGGGACCCAGATTTGAACCCTGTGGAACCCCCCAACATTTTCTCAGCCTTTCCATTAGATGAACAAGCTATGATTTGTTTTCTTTTTTCTCCTCCTCAGTTTTGTTCAGGTCTCTGAGCACTCGCCGCCAATCAGGGCCTCGGCCTTTCAGGAGGCTGCAGGTCGACTATGATGATGATGACGACGACCCCTTGTTGGAGTAAACCAACTGTGTCGCAAACAGGTTTAGAACCACACATTTATCAAGAGCAGACCACAATGCAACCCAAAACAAGAATGTAAAAATGTAATCCAGGCTAAAAGCAAGCAAGAAGCTGCTTCAACTAAAGCCTGGAAGGAAATGCAATCTGTATAATTTAGTAGGCCTGTCACTTACTTCCCCATCATTATGCAAAGAGAGTACAATTGTGCAGTTTATGAGACATAAATATGTCATGCTAGTCTTTCAGCTGCTCCCCAGGCTTTGCTCTTGGGAGCACATAAAGGTTAAAGACAGAAACATATGAGGGAGTTCAGAGTTCAGCGAACAGACTCAGAACCTTACCAGAGATCATTTTTTTTCCTTTAAAGATTATAATGTCAAGCATGTTCACACAGCTTCCAGCCTGGCTACTTTCAGATCATGCTGTAAGAGTCCCTTTCTGACGATGTCAACAAACCATTTGAACTTGGAAGATCATTGCTGGTGGTGAGAACGGGGTCGCTGCCAACGGTTTCAATCCAGGAGTCACATTTTCCAGGGACGGTGCAGACTAGAAAGGAAAGCTGGGAGACAGAGTGGTAGTGACATGCAGGAAATGGCCAAGAGTGGACTTTTTATACCATAACTAAACATGGCACTTTTCTTATTACACACACTCCCTACTGCATTAACAGTTTAGCCTGTATTATGTTTAACCTCTCTTTAATTGTCTGGTATTATGATTGTAAAATATGCCGCTCTGCTTCCTGTCCACGTTGGTGATTGGTCTTATGTTTCAAAATCCGCTCACAGCTAGACTGGGAATCCGTGGATAACAACGTTTGTGTGACTGCTAAGCCTGATTACAGAGGTCGGGTTTAGTGAACCCAGATAATGAAAAGACATCCCCGGTGTGGAAAACTAGCTTAATAATACAGGCCTCAGGTCTGCAGAGCCCGTGCACTGGTATAAATACAGCTGTGGGTAATGCTATATTCTGTTGTTGTTACTGAGTCTTCATAATGTTACTGCTGTTAAAAATCCTTGGACTTGAACATGTGACAAGAGTGGTGATTAGCTGTGAAATTTTGGGGAAATATTGGCGAAGTCTTTGGTGGGAAGACGGTAACAATGAGTCTGATATTATTATTATTATTCTCAAAGAAGAGACAAAAGCTACTGACTACTTTCATTTATCTTACTTTTCTTTCCATTTTTCTTTGGTAATGTTGTTTGAAGTTGTGTGCTGTTACATTTTTAACAGCAGAGGGAGCCACTAGCTCATTTAATTCAATTACAGGTAATTCCTCACAGTAGCTTTCTTTGCCAGTTGTTCACTTTACATGAGGGTGTGTCAGGGGTCCATCTGTGCTTCCTGTATATGAGTGATACCAAAGACTGTTAGATGCACAAAGAAATAATCAGCACTTATGTCTTTTTTTTCTTACACAGGGATTTGTATTACAAAATTAAAACAGTAATTGTTATTTTTAGCATCAGATAGGTTAGCTGCACACTTTTTTCTTTTTTTTTTAAAGAAACAGTACAAACGCAAATTCAGGTAGTAGTTTGAAAGTTGAACAGTAATTTCAAAGGCTGTTTTATTTAATCTGATGCTCACAGAGGGAGCAACCACAGGTCTGCTGTCCTGATCAAGGAAATTAGATGGAGCACACGCCTGTTAGCAGGATCAGAAACTGTCACTGCTCAAGGTCACAGCATGAGCCTGTTGATATTTAACACTCCTATTATTGGCAAATTCAACAACATGACTTGAACCAATGAGGGATGGATCCATATGACACATGTTTTGTGGAAATGTTGCTCTTTTGCTTGTAACCTTTCCTGTTTCCCCCCCAAAATTTTAAAGAACATCAGTGACACACTGCTCCTCATCACCAGAGCACTAGATGAATATTTAATAACATAAAAAAAACTTCTATCTTGTTTGTCTTGTAAGATTTACTGCAAACCAAAGGTCC